CTGCAGTGTGAGCAGCTGGTTCAAGTTGAGATCCGCAATTAAAGATGAACGAGTATAATAAACAAAAAGGGGTGTTATCTAAAATAAAAATGAGGAGATTAGTTTCAAGTAATTACGTGGGAGATAGCCAGGTGCCCGCCCAAACTGACAACCGTTTGACCGCGCGCACCCGACCCACACTGTTACAATCGCCTCAATCAGTCAAAGTGCGCTCGTCTCTCCTCCTTGCCCTCCCAGGTACTCGGAATCTAGCCACCAAGGTTATTCATGCAGAAGCGAACTCAAGTTCCCCCTCGGCCTCTTTTTTCTGCCTCTCCCTTTCCCTCTCTTTCTCTCTCTCTTTCACTCTCTCCCTTTCACTCTCTCTTTTTCACTTCCTCTCTTCCTAACTTTCTTTCTCTCTCTCTCTCTCTCTCTCTCTTTCTGCGTACTCTCCCTCTCATATAAATAACCGTCTCTTCACAAGGTTCGTATTCCGCTATTTCGCCGACCTTTAACACTTACAAGCACAGATATTTGCAGTTACGGTTCAGGTGTGCCCGGTCTCGTTTGCGACCAGAGGGGTGAATCTCGAACACCAATTAGCAAATAGTTATCCCTTTACTTCTGGATATTTTGCAAATAAGTGATTCAATAGATATCTTTTCCCGGGAATATGTAAATCAGTTTGAGTGTTAGGCGATCACAGCTGAGGCAATCTTTTAATAACAATTTTCAGGGAAAATACCAACCAATCAAGTCCCAGTCAGCCACAGGCTGCAGTCAGTCACAGGCTGTGTAATGCTGTCCTCTCACGGGCCATAAAAGATTCTTTTGATTGCCGGTGATTGAGCACTGGGTTTCACTTTCGCAGTTCTCGGAATATTTCTGAAATGAGACTATCATTTATTGCCCACTGAATTTTAGTGTCAGCCTATYRCAGCCGTMSTGCATTGCCTTCCCTTAGAGCGGAAGGGAATCATTCGAAGGTGGCGCTGAAGCAGCGAGTTTTCCTCCACTGCKCTCGGGGAATTTCGGAAACAAGTAAGTCAACAATTAATGTCCCTTTTCAGGGGGAGCATCAGCCAAACAAGCAACAGTCAATCATAAACTTGTATGCTCCGCTTACACAGACTGCCCCATGAGGAATTCAACTAAGCACATTCAGTGCATTCGTTCAGAAGAATAGAAGCGCAGTAAACTTACTCCTTCACCGCTGATTGTCTCGTGAGAAAGAGTGTCTGCCCCCCATCAACAACGGGAATGTAGGGTGATCTCATCTACAAGACCGGTAGATCCCACCAACAGAGGGGATAATTGATTGTCTCCTCAGTGTAAGTGACTGGTCATACCTACAGTGGGTGTATCTGGTTCTCTCTTTAGTGGATCACACCCACAGTGGGGGTCCTTGATTGCCTCATCAGTGTAAGTGACTGGTCACACCTACAGCGGGTGCATCTAGTTCTCTCTTCAGCGCGAGCGGCCGGATCACACTCGCAGTGGGCCCTTCTTCAAGAGCTTGCATTCTCTTCAGGATACCCTCACACGTGCAGACGGATCGCCATGTACACCTGGCGCGGCTCCTATCCCCCTCTCAACGGGGATGGTTGCCATCWTTTACTTGCGAACACTGCGAACTCCTGGCGCTCCTTCTTCCAATTCCCCTCTCCAMTCATATCCACCCACCGATACACTCGAGCCCCGCCACTTTGCCCGGTCTCTGTGTACTCCAGGTACGCCCCTCCAGTCTGAATCCTCCCCTGCTGYCGCTGCTGGCCWACCTTTGTCTAGCCCAACCATCCCGCATGCGAGGGCTGAGCACATTTTGCATACTCTCCTATTGTTCCTTGCCCCCCCCCAATCCTTCTGCCAACCAGGCCTTTTGCATGAGGGCTGGGGACGCCACACATGCTTCCTTTGAATGCCTACCCCCCCAGCGACCCTGTCCGACCCGAGCTGTTCTGATCACATCACTTCAACCCCAGGCGGGGCGCGACGCAGCGCACACCGAGCACATTTCCCCGTTCTCCCCCGCCCACATCGGCCCGTTTCAGACCACCTTCAATGGGCTCGCATCCGTTTTCCGATCAACCCTCCCCCTTCTGCAGCTCGTTGACCCTGCCGCGTTCAGTCGCGATGTGGGCTGGGTACACCTGGCGCATCCCACCCTACCTCCTCCTGCAGTTTGGCTATATCCCCTCCGCCTCGGGAGGCCGTGGCACCTGTACCTTCCGAAAAGAGCATCAGGCTCGAACAGGCCCATCAGTCCTATGGGCCCCTGAAGGACCAGGGTACGGTACCCAGAGAATGGCACCCTTGTCATGCAGCGCGACCTCCGGAGCGCATCGAGGGCCAGGAACGTACCAAGTACCGACCCATAAATTCCAGAGTCTCCATACACCATCCCAGTACCCATAATTCCTGTATCTGAAATTCTAACTGCAGTGTGGCGTTCCAATGACCGTGGCCCAAAATAGGTGTCGCCACCACAGTTTACAGTCTTTGATCAGATGCCGTACTAGACTGTACCGGTTACCGCATTCAAATAATAGGATCAGTCCACCATATGCCGCCTTTATTGCCATGCTTATACCGAACCAGGAGACATAAAAGGGCAATTCTACTGTGAACAGCTCTAATAAACATATCCAGCCTTTTCAATGCCGAGCAGCGGTGGACTAATCTGATGTCTACCAGTCACCGAATCCTGAAATTTAGGAACAACTTGCAGTATGTTGCCCTAGTGCCACGCTGGCACCGAACCATTCCAAGAAAGATTAATAGACACGGACCGTCATGAGTGTCACCCGCGACCGTACCAAAATATTCAAATCAGAGAACAGTATGCCGTATCAGTACCGCAGCCGAGCCAAGAATGCCGAATCTGTAGTCATGGCAACCTTGTATCACCATACCAGTGCCGAGCCTGAAATCATCATTCAGAGTCGCCGCAATCCGTACCGTGCCGATGCCGAACCAAACCCGAACGAATACCGAACCTGAAACATGTCAAATGTCGTACAATGCCGCAGTGCCGTGGTAGTACCGGACCTGTCCCGAGCCAGAGTGCCGTGCCCGAACCGAACCAACGATCTCACCGAGGCAGTAAAGTCGAGAGGCACATTCAAAGTAACAACGCGGTAACACCATGCCGACCATTGAACCCGCACTCATAACACACAGGTTGCGAGGAGGCTAGGAATCAGGTAAGTCAGGTAAGTCACGCAAGCGATCTCGATCATCAAGAAATAGAGAAAATCGTTAAAATCAGGATAAATAAATAATTCGGGGCTAAATCCCATCGCGAATAATTCAAATAAAATTTAATCAAAATATTGAATAATCAATGGTTTTCTTTTCTTTTATTATTTTTAATTCCTTTTCTCACTTCTTAATTATATTATCAGAAATAAAGAAAACGAAGGGCAATTTCATCAGAAATAAATCCCGATGGAATTTAATTAAATAGCAAATATTGATTATATTTCATTATTTTCTCCTCTTTTATTATTTTTAATCCTCTTTCTCAGTTTTACTTTTGGTATTAAAATTAATAAAAACTGAGGGTTCAATTCCTCGTCAGTTGTTGAGTGTGAAAGCGATGCGCCGAGGTGTACTACCATGCCTCCGTACCGCAGCTGGCCGCTTCGGGAACAGCCTCGGAGCGGACGAAAATGATAGGCGCTAAGCGCGGCAGGCGCAGCCATTCCCCTCGTTGATTTCAAGGGTCAGTCTTAATGGTTGACATAGAGAATATTAGGGGTCTCTCCCCGACCCCTAATTTCTCCCGGCGGCTCGGACGAAAGTCCCGGTCAATCCTTCTCTAGACAGACAATCTAGGGGTTAATCCATCGGATTTCGGGTGGCCGACTGACCTTCGGCCGCCCGACAACGTGACTGGCACTGCTGTTCTGATTCATCGTCACTCAGGAGGAGGTCATGACTGTGGGGTAATCGTGGACACATACCTGATCATCTTGAGGTCGGCATTGCTCCAGTGCGCTGATGAGGACTTATTGACGTGCCACGTGGCACATTGTAGTAGAACTTCAGATGTACGTTCAGACTATTGATTATTTGAGGTGGTGATTGGGAAGGAAGCCCGAAGCAGAAGTGGGCATTGTCTCTCCACTCTCTAAGTCTATTCTCCCTCCTCTCTCTTTTAGTCTGTGTATGATTCTCCCATCTCATTCTATCTGGACACGATTATGATTATTGATAATCATCAGCAGGTTTATATTCATCTGGGCTTGCATTGTTGACAAGTGTCTTCACGATCTGGGTTCATTACAAGATAGGGATTAAAAAAAAAAAAGAAAAAAAAGTTGGCATGTACCTGCTTGGTGTTTGAATGGCACATTCATGTAACTGTTTCGGCACGCAGATCACGACTTCATTCCTGCTAATTACGTGAATGTTAAAAGAAGAAGAAAGGGGAAAACAAAAAGGAAGAAAGTAGTTGGACAGATGAGGTGCGGAAGCAACGCGGAGGCCATGGGTCTAGTTGCACCACTCATCATCGGCCAACATTTTGAATGCATCTGAACGCAGTGTCTGACCAGGTGCATTCAAAATCTTGGTGGATGGCGAGTGGTGCAACTATAGGCCCTACTATGGGTACGTTTTCTGGTGAACGGTACTCCCCTTGGCTTCGCGGCTTCGTGGCAACAGAAAGCGACGGGAAAAAGAAAAGTGTTGTACTTGTCATCCTGGCGCTGATGAATCTGGCGTATTCCATGGTACAAGTACAGACGGCGTCATCTGGTTTTGATTTGAATTGCGAACCGATCTTTTTTTTTTGCTTGTTTGCATTGTCGGAGGTACTTGGCGGAACACCGAAGCCGCCAGCCGTTGCTTTTCAGTGGCCGTTGTTGATGATACGAACACTGGTGGCGTTGTCTGGTTTGAAATTTTCAAATTTCAAAATTTTGAAATTTTGAAATTTGAAATTTGAATTTTGAATTTTGAATTTTGGAATGTGAATTTGAACTGTTTTTTTTTTTCCCTCTTGTTTTTTGCAGATAAAACAGCAGGAAGATTATCAGAGGTACTTAGCAGAACGCGAGATTCGTCAGCGCCAGGAGGACGAGTACAATGACAAGCACCAAAATGCGATGATGGATTCGGAGACCGGTGCGCGCTGACAACGCATAGAGAGAGTTTAGTTTCTGGCACACAAGTTGTACAGTGCAGGGCGCGAGAGAGATGAAGGCATCACCATGCCGCCGCAGCTGCAATCGCCTTTGTAAGCTTCCGGGCAAGAACTGGATCGCCTTTGCAACGGCAGTGTTTGAAAGATGTTGACCTCAGTGGGATTCGATCTTGTGATCTGTGGTGTAGAGATTGTTAGATCTTCGCGCCTTGACGGCGACTCCCACTTGGTCATGTCCAAGCTGTGCAGTGTGCAGTGCGAGCGAGCAAGCAAGCAAGCTCTGTTCGATATTCGCCCCTCGACTCATAGACTCTACGTCGTCATACATCACTGGAGTAGCTGATTTTCGCCGATCTTGCAAAGTATTCGCACGACAACGAATGTGGTCATGCGTGCGGTTCGTTGTCGTGCGGACTAAGCAGCGAAAGAAGTGGTGATAACTCTCCTACTCCTCCTTCATGTGCTTGACACGTCAGCAGTCTGCAGTCGTTTCTCCTTCTCCTCCTCATCCTCTTCATGCTTTTCAGTTTGCAAATGTCCAGCTCTTGATTGGATTTCTAAAGAAGAAAGATTTTTTTTCAATACATCATTTCTCCTCCTCCTCTTCCTCCTCCTCCTCCTCCATATTCTGTCATTTGGGAAGCTTGCTTTCTTTCTATATCAGTAGCAGTGTTTCCTTTCTTTTTTTTTTTCCAGAGTCGAATATGATTTGCCCTCTGGGACTCTGGGAGCAAAAAAAATTTGCCCTCTGTCATTTTGGAAGCTTGCTTTTTTCTTTCGTCCTCTGACTAGTCTCGCTTTTTTTGAGAGTCGAATGGTTTTTTTTCGGTTCTTTTTTTGAGAGCAAAAAAAAAGATTTGTTTCACCTACGTGATCGGTTGGATTTTCTTTTTTTTTCCTTCGATCGTCTGTAGGGATCCCTACTCAGCCATCATCTTGTGCATATCTGAGTCTGGCCCATACTCTTACCACGACAGGACTTTCTTGACCGAATTGGGTCATGAATGTGCTCAGAAAACAGACACGGAAGTCCAAATGTGAGGAGTATATCCCCTTTTTGAGAGTGTTTTGCAAGCATGATTAGCTCTGCTGCCCAGTGCTTGTTTCTCTTCCTCCGGCGTCAGCCTACGCATTGACCAGTTGATTGCTTATGCTATGTATGTGGAGTGCAAGTTTTCACCCCCCGTTCGCCTAGGATATGATCTGTGGATTCTTTGCAGAGTGTTTTTGTGTAGGTATGTTTGCCCACTCTTATGTTCTTGAATGTTCTTGAGGCAGGTAACCTCTTTTGCGCCTTTGCCTCACTTTGGTTGGTGTTAAGTTTGCTGATTACACTGCGTGGCTGGTACTAGGTTAGTGTGTTACAATTCACTACTTACTGGAGTTCTTAGCTGGCTATTAACCCAGGGTTGATCTCTCTCTCTCTCTCTCTCTCTCTCTCTCTCTCTCTCTCTCTCTCTCTCTCTCTCCCCACTCTTGCTTCGCAGGGTTGTCAAGGACTCGTTTCGAAAATTGAAGATTTATCTGTTTTTTACCCGTTCTCATTGCGTTTGTGTGATCGCTGTAGCTGTATTTCGTGCAACGTTCAGGCCAGAGACAGATACGACGAGCTGACAGTGTTTTTCGGGGAAAGCAGATTGTGTTCATTCAATTGGCGTTGCTTCCTGGGGATGTGAAGTTTTTTCACTGCCATGACTGAGAGACAGAGCCTGGTAATTCATTTGTCTCACCGTGTTTGCGCGGAGCATGTGAAAACGTTTTTTTCCGTTTTGTGCTATAATTGGGGTGAGCGCGTTGCCTGCCGCTGCATTGCTGTGATAACTACAAAGCGTGGAGCCCTTCTCAGCGACAAGTTCACCGACAACCAGCGCCGTTAAAATTTGACAGGTGTAAATAAACGAGATTTGGTGGCGTTTCATGAGTGAGCACGCAGCTGCACGCAGCAGAACAAAGTGAAATTTCAAAATTGAGGCTTGAAAGTTGAACCTGAAAGCGAAATTTCAAATTTGGCGAAGATGTTGCTACGGTATCGAGATTTGTCAAAATTGCAAACCAAAAAGGTGACTATTATTATTGTTTTTTTTTTTTTTTTTTTGGGACCATTTGTCGATTTATGTGTGCCAGTCTTGAGCAAGGGGCCATGCGAATCTTGAATCTTCTCTGTATCGTTCTAATGGTAACAGATGTTCGGATGTGCCGAAGGACAGTATTGTGATTTGATTTATTATTATTAATTAAATTAGTGAATTTAGTGTATTATATTATTATCTATGTTAGCAGAGTTTCCCGGCCTTATGGCTCAATTCATTCATTCATTGAATGTAATTTTGATTATAATTAGAATAAAAAATTTGTGGGGGGGGAACCCATCCAGGATACCCAGGCGACACCGAAAAGGGGGTCATTTTTTTATTTTTTTTATTTTTTTTGGCAGTGGGGCAATTTCTTTGAGTTTGGTGATATCTCACCAAAGGGTGTCTATGAGCGGGGTTTGAAAGTGCTCGAAGGGGCTTAAAGGGGCGTAAAGGTGTATGATCATACTATGATGTAAATTACTAAATAGTAAATTTACTATTCAGTAATTTACTAATTAGTAATTAGTATTTTTACTATTTTATTTTGGATTCCATGGCGAATTTCGTGGTCACCCTCAGGCAAAAGATGTTTGGTTTGCAATTCTGCATGACATTTTTTTCATAATTTTTTGGATTTTTTTTTTTTTTTTTTTGCGCTGGGACTGGCCAGGACCTTGCCCGGGACTTCGCCCGGACCTGGCCTGGCCGGGCCACCCCGGCCAATCTGAGGCAACCCGGGCCACCCTGCTGGTAAAAGAGGTGATTACTGGGCAGCTCTGTTTGACGATATATATGTTTGACAACTTTGACTTTGACTATATATATGAGTCGGTGAAATTCCGACGAAACAGTTTGTCACAGCCCCTAGTGTGTTGTTCTCTTCTCCCTCCCTCTCTGCCTACGCTTTACCGGGCAGCTCTGTTTGACTATATATATAGAGTCAAACAGAGCTGCCCGGTAAACCGCAGGCAGAGAGGGAGGGAGAAGAGGACAACAAATATATAGCTCTGTTTGACTATGTCCTTTTCTCCCTCTCTGCCTACGGTTTACCGGGCAGCTCTGTTTGACTATATATATGTATAGGAGCGGCTGTGACAAACTGTTTCGTCGGAGTTTCCCCAACAGACTCATCAGGAGGAGGCTTCACACTCAACAGTCTGCCGAATCCCCTAACCTGATGATTACACAGTAAGTGATCATCCACCTTAACCCCGGCTGTGGTTGAGCATGAACGCCTGCATATTTATTGGCAAACAGAACCATCGTTAAACAGAACTGCCCGTAGGAAGAGAGGGAGGGAGAAGAGGAGAACAAACGAGGGGCTGTGACAGACTGTTTCAATCCGATTTTCGTGGGCTCATCAGGGGGGGGCTGAACCCTCTTCTACAGTCTGCAGAGTGACCTGCACGATGTTAAAGTGCTGCAAGTGGTAGTCCGCCTTAACCCTGCTTGCGATTTAAGCATCGACGACTGCCCGTCAAGCAACGAGCCTCTGAGGAGGTGGGGACCACCACCCGCTGGCCTCGAGGGTGAGTACGTGTGACGAAAATCAATGCAGACTATCACTCACCCACACCAGAGGGAGGTCTCCACAGACTGCAGGTTCACACCCCATCATAAGTGGGCGGCTATAGCAGACGGACCCGCGTACAATTAATGCCTTTTTCTCAAAACATACTCCCACTAAAGTAGGTTGGAATTGAAACAAGTGAAAGAGGGGGAACCCGCACCTTACCTGACTGGATGGTGTGGGTTCCTGGATGTTCTTATTATGGGTGTTCCTGGATGTATCTGCCCGCAATTACGTCCCGATTCAGTCCAACAAGTCCCTGGCCTAGTGCGAGTATGCCCTCCGTCACACACAGGAGGGGGCTGAGACAAAAAAATAAAAAAAGTGAAAGAGGAAAACGAAACGACAAAGAAAAAGTTGGAAAACAGAAGAAGTTTCTTAGGGTGTATCCACATCCGAACCGCCTTTCGATGTTTCTGGCCGGTATTCCGGCCAGGTGAAGTTGAAACAAGTCACCAGTGCAACTATGCCTTTGGTTTGCCTTTCAGCTCCTTTTGCCTTTGATCCTTCCTTTCTCCTATTTTTTTCCTCCACATTCATTTGTTGAATGCACCTGTTTCTCATCTCCATATATATGTGCATTGTGCATGTATCTGAACGTCGTCGCAAAGTTTGTGCAGATGCATTTCTTGTTTACATATGTGACGTTGAGATCCTAACCAACAATGCTATACCCATCTGTATACATGTAATCAAAAGTATTTGTGGGGGACAAAAAAAAAAAAAAAAAAAAAAAAAAAATCAAATTTCCGAATGCATTTGTTCTGGTCTCATGTTTCCTTTCTGGAAAAAAATCGTTTTTTTTTTTTTTTCATGCGTTTCTATTTTTTTTTCGTTTAATGTACCTGACAGTTGGCTGAATGGTGCACACATATAGGCTGATTTAGCTATGGATTAACTGATCACGTGTTCGAAATTCGAATCCTTTAAATAAATACATAAACTCCGACGAAACAGTTTGTCACAGCCCCTCGTTTGTTGTCCTCTTCTCCCTCTCTGCCTACGGTTTACCGGGCAGTTCTATTTGACGATATATATATTAATCCAATGAAAATGTGCAGGTTGTGTTCGAGGAGTCGTATTATGCCAAAGACTCAGCCACACTTGAACTTTTAAGAGAGTTAACGACAAAAAGGCGAGCGATCGAGGAAGTGCTGAATGGCCGGACCAATATTCCGGCCACTGAGACTGCAATGGCAGGTGGCATAACGTCACCGGCTATGCAGGTATGGGGTTATCGACAATTTGGGTCCCTTTTTAGTCATTTGGGGGGCGGGGGAGGGGGTGCATAGAGGGGGTCGGGAAGGAGGTGGTGGATATGGGGGTTGAGGAGGGGGTGCAAGGGGGACTGCCAGCAGAGTGGGCCTGCCAAAAGGGGCCCAAAACTGAGTGCAACTGGCACATCTTCATGTGCGCTGCAATTTAATTGATTTTCGTGGCTTGGAACTTTTGGGATGGGGGAGGACCAGGGGGGCGGGGGGGGGGGGGGGGGAGAATAGGGGAGGGATTTCTTTGAAGGAAAGGAAGGTATTATTTTGTGTGCAAAGTTGAAAACCAACCAGAAAGGAAAAAACGGAAGGAGGGAGTACGAAGTTAGGAACTTTATCAAAGTCTTGGTCTTTTTAAACCCCGGTTTCTTGGGCGGCTCATGCGCATGCATCTAGCCCAGTGTTCGACCAGGTGAACATCTGCCTGAGAGGACAGATACATGGTACAGTTCAATGGGCATCCCACCCTTTGTCATCTTTCATGCTTTCTCTCGCTATTTTGTTGGGGGGGGAGGGTGTGCTATTTTTGACACGCCCTTTCTCTCTCTATTTTGTTGGGGGGAGAGGACAGATACATGCAAAGTGTCCTTCTCCTGTACGTCAGCAGTTAAATACTCCTCAAGGGGGGAGGGCGCTAGGGGGACACTAACACCAGGACTGTCAGGACTGAATTTGGAGGTGATTGTGGCCAAATACATGCCGCAAAGTCCTTGTGCGAGTATGCATTTTTTTTGTGGTGGTAAATCCAGGAGTCAAGGAGGGAGAGTCTGCACCAACCCACTAAAAAAGGGACACTCACATTAGGACTCTCTAGACTGAATTCGGACGCGACTCTGTCCAGATTCACCCTCTCTCTCTCTATTTGCTCAAAACACTGTTGAGTTTTTCAAGTAAATTCTCCCATTCATTTACAGGCTTCGCTAGAGGCGTGTTTTCACGAAACTGTTTGTGATGAATTTCGCTTTTCAAGACTGCGAAAACATCAGGTTGTGTCATCCTTGTCCTTCTCCTGTACGGCAGCAGTTAAATACTCTTTTTTTTGGGGGTTGGGGGGTTGGGGGGGGGGCGAGAGGAGGGCGCTAGGAGGACACTAACACAAGGACTGTCAGGATTGAATTTGGATGTGATTGCGGCCAAATACATGCAGTAAAGTCCTTGTGCCAGTATGTTTTTTTTGGGGGGTGGTAAACCCAGGAGTCGAGGAGGCAGAGTCTGCACCAACCTACTAAAGGGACTCTCACATTAGGACTGTCTAGAGTGAATCAGGACGTGACTCTGTCCAGATACATCCAGAAAAAGTCCTAGTGCATGGTTTTCCTACGTGACTCTTGTCTCCAACCATTGTTGTTGTTGTTGTTGTTGTTGTTGTTGTTCCCCTTGTTCCCTCCAACCATTGTTCTGATGATTCTTGTTTTCTTTTTTTCTTTTTTTTCCTTTCTTTGGGTGCTGCAGAAGCTGCACAAATGTGATCAGTACATTCCGTTTCTTGCCAATCTCGTGGAACACGTTGTCCCGGAGGTGGAGAGCAATGCGCAGCTTCGACAGTGGACGCTCGATTTGAAGATCCGATGGACGAGTGTCGTCAGCGGTTCAAGTGGGAGGGGGCTGTTGGGGCCAAAGTTCTTCCGAATTGATGATTTGCGGTTTGAGCTGTGCATGACGATGTGGGTTTACGCCGCATTTCTGAGAGAACAAGCATACGACGTTGTCGATGACGGTGAGAGTACATTGTGTTAACTTGCGTTGTTATTTTAATATTTTATCCATCCGTTCACTTATAGAAATTGCTAACGTGAGAATGCGGCAATCCAGACCGTCCGCGGTCCTACTGGCCCAACGGTTCAGATTGTCGAGCAACCTTAAGACTCTAAGGTTGCGCGACGTTAAGACCGTGCGGCGATCCAGGCCGCCCGCCAGGGCGGACGGCCTGGATCGTGTGACTATCGGAACCATCGGGCCGGTAGGACCCTGGATGGCCTGGATCATCGTGGCCATCGGAAAGAGGGGCCCGTCGTGAAAGAACTGCCCGGTACCTGTTGGCCATTGGCCCGTTGCAGGGCGGCGCCCTTGCCATACTCCAGTCCAACGGCCCGCCTCTACCGGACCTAGCAAAGCCGACAGACGACTCTACGCGGACAGACTCCTCAATGCGCTGCATCGTTCGGCCCCGTCGTGCGACTGACAGCTGTTACTAACGGTTGAAGACGCCCTCTCTCTCTCTCTCTCTCTCTCTCTCTCTCTCTCTCTCTCTCTCTCTCTCTCTCTCTCTCTCTCTCTCTCTCTCTCTCTCT